TATATTTGAGTGCATGTAACAACTGGTAGGAATTCTGAAAAGATCCATAATTTACTTAATAGTTTTGTACCAATGTCAGTTTCCTGGTTAAAGTGTACTATGGCTAAGGAAAATGTTATCAGTGTGAAAAAATGAGTACCGGGTCCTAGGGGATTCTCTGTACTGTTATTGCCACTTCTTGTGATTCTTAAATGTTTTAAAAGTACACTACCTATTTAATCTCTATATAGCCACGATGGGGTGAAAGTTTGCAATTGCCTACTAAGTCACAGGTATTGTGTTAGGTATTTTATCTCTCTGAAAAAGGACAGTTTTCTCTACATTTTATGATAGAAGAACCTAAAACTCACCAGTTATATTTTCTCAAAATCACACCTATAAACTGGGCCCACTATCCAAGCCTGGGATTTTTTTTTTTCCTCAAAATTTATCCTGTTTTTGGTCTTTCCATTCTATTCTCTTGTCTCTTTTTTTCACTAAATATTTCCAAGATCCTTGAAACTTCGTTTCCCACTCCATACCTCTTCAGTTTTTTAATGCTTTCTTTCCTTGTTCTCGAGGAGAACTCAAATATAACATGTTCAGAGTTCTTTCTCAAATTTGGCACAGGGCTCAAGCACTCTGGAGGTACTTTCCTGTAAGTTATTGCCCAGAAGATTTATAAAATCAGGAACCATTGTGAGTTCACAGAAATGTGTCACCAAAACTAGATCTGAAAATGTGCCCTGGTCTCCTGAGAACCATTCAGGACACTCTCACTATGTAATAAGAGATGTTCTCTAAAGCACATTTGATTGGATAGGCATAATCTCAACAACATTACTTTCTATGTATAATTCCATGACTTAACAAAAGTGAAACTTCCCATTGCTCAAAAACCTTAAAAAGAAATCAGTTCTGTTAATAATTCTGCTGAAATTATTTTGAGAAAAATAGAGATAAAGGAACCTAAGAGCTGTAAGCTTGAAAAATGTCCTTTTTGAAATATTGATTCAATTTTCAAACCTTGAATATAGTTTTAGAGTTTATATTTTCCTCTGAAGGCAATTGCATACATTTTTCTTATTATAATACATATTTGAAATGAATTTTAAAGGAAATACAAATTTTGTGGAATCAAGAGCTAGTGAAAAAAATATATTGCAAACCCAGGAGAGTAGCATATTGGTTAACACCATTTTTGATCCAGACTAATATGGGCTCAAACCTTTGCTCTGCCATTTACTAGTGTTGTTTTCTTTAAAAAATCTTAGAAATCTTTTATTTCTTAATCCCATTAAGACCCTACAATACTAAGAGAATGCACATTTTACATGTACTAGATGTTAGTTACATTGTGATAAATAAGATCAGTATCAAAGAACATTATCACAAATTGGTGAGAAAATTGATCCTCCAAAAAAAAAAAGAAAACCAAGTCATTCTTCAAAACAGTTGTTGAGTCATAGTGTTCTATATTAGTAATTCAAACAAGGCATTGGAAAAATATTAACTTATGTATGGCATAAAGGGAGCAGATAAGCCATTTTTGTCCCATAAAATATTGGAGAATATAAAAATTGTAATACTGTGGGACATTGAGTATATTTTGTACATCATATTTAATCTAAATGCTAATGTTGAGAAGAAAAAACTGAATTATTCTAAAAATGTGTTGTAAGCTTTAAGAGTAATGTTTCTAAAAAGGTGTGGGACATTTACATGTGGAAACCTTAGTTTTTAATAGAATTTTGTATTCGTCTTCTGATAGAATTATTAAAAGGAAATGTTACCAAAACAGTCAGCTAGGTTCAAATTAAAAACAAAATTATATAGATTTATAAAATCAGAACCTACTAAACATAAGTTGTACTTAATGGTGCAACATTAAAGAAAATTTTAATGTTATTTAACTTTAAATACAATTTAACTATGGGTGAATGAGTGTCATGCATGCTCACTATTCATTTAGCTTTTAATCAAGCCAAGTGTTTGTTCAAACCTACTAGTAAAGATTATTTAAAGAGGTTTCAATAGTTTTAATTAATCATCAATTGCTTTAGAGAAACTTGAGTTTTGTTACCAGTGGGCTAATCTACCTTTTGTCTGTGGCATTATCTTTCCAGAGTTCGCCAGGTGTGTGTAGGTACTTTTAGAGCCCTGTTTGATTCCCCCATGCCAGAGAATCAATTAACAAAAGACAAGGAAATAGAATAGATTTAGCAAATTAAGAAAACTGTATGCCCATATTTGGCCTAAATGAATATGGAGCCCTTGCAACAGAGTCCTGAAACTGAAATGAAGCCACTTCTGATCAATCTTCTCATTGACAGAAAAGAAGCAGAAACCTTTAAAAGGAAAGATCACATAATGAATTAATAACCACAAGTTGTGTGGTGGAAAGTTAGTATGACATACAAAAACTATAATTATAAAGCTTTAGGTGAATAAAGGAAACCAAATAGGTCATCAGAGTCTCTGTTCTCAATGGATTATGGGTGCTCTTCCTCCTCCAACTTTTTCCTTTCTTATTGCTCTTTAATCAGTCATTTTTTTGGTTGCATGTTTTGTGTTTCATCTTTTATTACATCTTATTTGACAAAAGTAGTGTTTTCTTTAATATTTGTTGCAAGATTTTTGGTTTAGATTACATACCCTAGTATTGGTATTGTCAGGGCAGTAAAATATAAGCACACTTTCTTTCCTCTATATTGCTGAGAACCCGGGTTTCACAATCAAAATGACCTAGTCTAGGCTCTCATCTCTGTGTAATGCTAGCTGGTTACTCTGGACCATTTACATAAATACCTCTCAGACTTAGTTGCCTCATCTGCAAAAAGAAGACAATAATACAAACTATATTACAATAATACAAACTAGGGAAGACATAAATAAATGTCACAGACTGGGTGACCTAAACAGCAGAAGTTTATTTTCTCACAGTTCTGGAGGCTGGGAAGTCCAAGATCAAGGTGTTGGCAGATGGCGGCCTTCCGGCTGTGTCCTCACATGGCTTTTTCTTTGCGTTTGCACATTCCTGTTGTCTCTTACTTTTCTTACAAGAACATCAGTCTTATTGGATCAGGGCTCCATGCATATGACCTTTTGTAACCTCAATTACCTCCTGAAAAGCCCTATCTCTAAATAAAGTCACACTGGGGGTTAAGGATGCAACATATGGATTTTGGGGGACACAGTTCAGTCCTTAACACAAACCTTGAAAGGTTTTTTAAAGTATATAATTTTTAGCAATACGTTTGGTATACGTAAGTGATCAACAAATAGCAGCTAATGTAATTTATATTTTACTTTGGTGAATTAGGATGCAATGGTAAGTAAGTTGTAGAAGAGAAAAATCAGTAGGTTTATTAGTTAGCCATTGGTGCATGAAAAACAATCCAAAACTTAGTGGTCTGAAACAACTGTTTAGTGCATGATTTTGTGGGTCGCCTATTTGAGCCTGATGGCTCATCAAATCTAATCAAGCTTAGTTGATCTCAGCTAGATTTATTTTGAATTTTCAAAGAGCTGGTGGTTTTTTGAAGCTGGGAAGTTTGTGATGGTTTTGTCTGGGATGGATGGGATGAGTGGGGTCTCTCTCCAGCTGGTATCCATATAGTCCTTCAGCAGATGAGGCCAGGCTTCTCCACGTGGCTATCAAAGTGTTCTAAGAATAGCAAGGAAACCAGCCCATGCAAGTGCATTTCAGTATCTCCTTGTGTCACATTTGCTAATGTTATATTAGTCTAAGTATCATGAAAAACCCAGAATCAAGGGGTGGAGAAATACAATCTATATCATGGGAGGATCTGCAATGTCCCAAAGTAAATATGTGAAGACAGGAAGGGGAAGATTTGATGAAAATGGGCAGAAGAGCTAAATAGACATTTCTCCAACGAAGATATACAGATTGCCAACAAACACATGAAAGGATGCTCAACATCACTAATGATTAGAGAAATGCAAATGAAAACTACAATGAGGTAGCACCTCACACCAGTCAGAATGGCCATCATCAAAAAATCTACAAACAATAAATGCTGGAGAGGGTGTGGAGAAAAGGGAACCCTCTTGCACTGTTGGTGGGAATGTAAATTGATACAGCCACTATGGAGAACAGTATGGACGTTCCTTAAAAAACTAAAAATAGAACTACCATATGACCCAGCAATCCCACTACTGGGCAAATACCCTGAGAAGACCATAATTCAAAAAGAGTCATGTACCACAATGTTCATTGCAACTCTATTTACAATAACCAGGACATGGAAGCAACCTAAATGTACATTGACAGATGAATAGATAAAGAAGATGTGACACATTTATACAATGAAGTATTACTCAGCCATAAAAAGAAATGAAATTGAGTAATTTGTAGTGAGGTGGATGGACCTAGGTGTCTGTCATACAGAGTGAAGTAAGTCAGGAAGAGAAAAACAAATACTGTATGCTTACACATATATATGGAATCTTTAAAAAAAAAAAAAAAGGTTCTGAAGAACCTAGCGGAAGGACAGGAATAAAGACGCAGATGTAGAGAATGGACTTGAGGCTACGGGGAGCGGGAAGGGTAAGCTGGGACAAAGTGAGAGAGTGGCATGGACATATATACACTACCAAATGTAAAATCAACAGCTAGAGGGAAGCAGCAACATAGCACAGGGAGATCAGCTCAGTGCTTTGTTACCACCTAGAGGGGTGGGATAGGGAGGGTGGGAGGGATACACAAGAGGGAGGAGAGATATGGGGATATATGTATATGTATGGCTGATTCACTTTGTTATAAAGTAGAAACTAAAACACCATTGTAGAGCAATTATACTCTAATAAAGATGTTAAAAAAAAAAAGTCTATTACAGACAAGACCTTCCAAATGGCTTAGGAGTAAGACATAGAGATCACCTTTCTCCCCATAAATACATCAGATATATATCTACATGTGGAACAACTCCTACAGAACACCTACTGAATGCTGGCAGAAGACCTCAGACTTCCCAAAAGGCAAGAAACTTCCCTCATACCTGGAGCAATGTGGCTGACAGCATCTTGATGCTCCGGCCGGGTGTCAGGCCTTTGCCTCTGAGGTGGGAGAGCCAAATTCAGGACATTGGTCCACCAGAGATCTCCCATCACCGTGTAATATCAAACGGCAAAAGCTCTCCCATAGATCTCCATCTCAACGATAAGACCCAGCTCCAGTCAACAACCAGCAAGCAACAGTTCTGGATACCCTATGCCAAACAACTAGCAAGACAGGAACACAACCCCACCCATTAGCAGAGAGGCTGCCTAAAATCATAATAAAGTCACAGACACCCCAGAACACACCACCGGACGTGGTCCTGACCACCAGAAAAACAAGATCCAGCCTCATCCACCAGAACACAGGCATAGTCTGCTCCACCAGGAAGCCTACATCACCCACTGAACCAACCTTAGCCACTGGGGGCAGACACCAAAAACAACTGGAACCATGAACCTGCAGCCTGCAAAAAGGGACCCCAAACACAGTAAGTGAAGCAAAATGAGAAGACAGAAATACACACAGCAGGTGAAGGAGCAAGGTAAAAACCCACCAGGCCAAACAAATGAAGAGGAAATAGGCAGCCTACCTGAAAAAGAATTCAGAAGAAGGATAGTAAAGATGATCTAAAATCCTGGAAATAGAATGGAGAAAATACAATAAGCATTTAACAAGGACCTAGAAGAACTAAAGAGCAAACAAACAATGATAAACAACATAATAAATGAAATAAAAAATTCTCTAGAAGGAATCAATAGCAGAATACTGAGGCAAAAGAACGGATAATTAACCTGGAAGATAAAATAGTGCAAATAAATACTGCAGAACAGAATAAAGGAAAAAAAAATGAAAAGAATTGAGGATAGTTGTAGAGATCTCTGGGAAAACGTACCAACATTTGAATTATAGGGGTCCAGAAGAAGAAGAGAAAAAGAAAGGGACTGAGAAAATATTTGAAGACTTTAGAGTTGAAAACTTCCCTAATATGGAAAGGGAATAGTCAATCAAGTCCAGGAACTGCAGAGTCCCATCAGGATAAATCCAAGGAGAAACACACCAAGACACATATTAGTCAAACTATCAAAAATTAAATACAAAGAAAAAATATTACAAGCAGCAAGGGAAAAACAACGAATAACATACAAGGGAACCCTCATAAGGTTAACAGCTGATGTTTCAGCAGAAACTCTGCAAGCCAGAAGGGAGTGGCAAGACATACTTAAAGTGATGAAAGGGAAAAACCTACAACCAAGATTACTCTACCTAGCAAGGATCTCATTCAGATTTGACGGAGAAACTAAAACCTTTACAGGCAAGCAAAAAGTAAGAGAATTCAGCATCACCAAACTAGCTTTACAACAAATGGTAAAGGAACCTCTCTAGGCAGGAAAATCAAGAGAAGGAAAAGACCTACAATAACAAACACAAAACAACTAAGAAAATGGTAATAGGAACATACATATCAATAATTACTTTAAATGTAAATGGATTAAATGCTGCCACCAAAAGACATATACTGGCTGAAGGGATACAAAAACAAGACCCATATATATGCTGTCTACCAGAGACCCACTTCAGACCTAGGGACACATACAGACTGAAAGTGAGAGGATGAAAGAAGTTACTCCATGCAAAGGGAAAGCAAAAGAAAGCTGGCATAGCAATTCTCATATCAGACAAAATAGACTTTAAAACAAAAACTATTACAAGAGGCAAAGAAGGACACTACCTAATGATCAAGGGATCAATCCAAGAAGAAGCTATAACAATTGTAAATATTTATGCACCCGACATAGGAGCACCTAAATACATGAGGCAAATGCTAACAGCCATAAAAGGGGAATTTGACAGAAACACAATAACAGTATAGGGGACTTTAACACCCCATTTTCACCAGTGGACAGATCATCCAACATGAAAGTAAATAAGGAAACACAAGCTTTAAATGATACATTAAACAAGATGGACTTAATTGATATTGATAGGACATTCCATCCAAAAACAACAGAATACACTTTCTTCTCAAGTGCTCATGGAACATTCTCCAGGACAGATCACATCCTGGGTAAAAAATCAAGCCTTGGTAAATTTAAGAAAACTGCAATCATATCAAGGATCTTTTCCGACCACAAGATATGAAAGTAGATATCAATTAGAGGAAAAAAACTGTAATTGTAACAAACACATGGAGGCTAAACAACATGCTACTAAATAACCAAGAGATCACTGAAGAAAGCAAAGAGGAAATCAAGAAATACTCAGACAAATGACAATGTAAACACGGCAACCCAAAGCCTATGGGATGCAGCAAAATCATTTCTAAGAGGGTAGTTTATAGCAATAAAATCCTACCTCAAGAAACAAGAAACATCTCAAATAAACAACCTAACCTTATACCTAAAGCAATTAGAGAAAGAAGAACAAAAAAAACCCCCAAAGTTATCAGAAGGAAAGAAATTATAAAGATCAGATCAGAAATAAATTAAAAAGAAGTGAAGGAAACAATTGCAAAGATCAGTAAAACTAAAAGCTGGTTCTTTGATAAGATAAACAAAATTGATAAACCATTAGTGAGACTCATCAAGAAAAAAACCGAGGAGACTCAAATCAACAGAATTAGAAATGAAAAAGGAGAAATAAGAACTGACACTGCAGAAATACAAAGGATCACAAGCGATTACTACAAGTAAGTATAAGCCAATAAAATGGACAACCTGGAAGAAATGGACAAATTCTTAGAAAAGCACAACCTTCCAAGACTGAACAAGAAAGAAATAGAAAATATAAACAGACCAATCACAAGCACTGAAATTGAAACTGTGATTAAAAATCTTCCAACAAACAAAAGCCCAGGACTGGATGGCTTCACAGGAAAATTCTATCAATAATTTAGAGAAGAGCTAACACCTATCCTTCTCAAAGCCTTCCAAGATATAGCAGAGAGAGGAACACTCAAACTCATTCTACGAGGCCACCACTACCCTGATACAAAAACCAGACAAAAATGTCACAAAGAAAGAAAACTACGGCCAATATCACTGATGACCATAGATGCAAACATCCTCAACAAAATACTAGTAAACAGAATCCAACAGCATATTAAAAGGATCATACACCATGATCAAGTGGGGTTTATCCCAGGAATGTCAGGATTCTTCAATACATGGAAATTAATCAATGTGATACACCGTATTAACAAATTGAAGGATAAAAACCATATGACAATCTCAATAGATGCAGAAAAAGCTTTTGACAAAATTCAACACCCATTTTTGATAAAAACCCTCCAGAAAGAAGGCACAGAGGGAACTCACCTCTACATATTAAAAGCTATAGATGACAAACCCACAGCCAACATCATCCTCAATGGTGAAAATCTGAAATCATTTCTTCTAAGATCAGGAACAAGACAAGGTTGTACACTCTCACCACTATTATTCAACATAGTTTTGAAAGTTTTAGCCACAGCAATCAGAGAAGAAAAAGAAATAAAAGGAATCCAAATTGGAAAAGAAGAAGTAAAGCTGTCACTGTTTGCAGGTGACATGATACTATACATAGGGAATCATGAAGATGCTACCAGAAAACTATTAGAGCTAATCAATGTATTTGGTAAAGTAGCAGGATACGAAATTAATGCACAGATATCTCTTGCAATTCTATACACTAATGAAAAATCTGAAAGTGAAATTAAGGAAACCCTCCCATTTACCATTGCAACAAAAAGAATAAAATACCAAGGAATAAACCTACCTAAGGAGACAAAAGACCTGTATGCAGAAAACTATAAGACACTGATGAAAGAAATTAGAGATGATACAAACAGTTGGAGAGATGTATCATGTTCTTGGATTGGAAGAATCAACATTGTGAAAATGACTATAATACCCAAAGCAATCTACAGATTCAATGATTTAAGTCAGAAAGAGGAAAATAAATACCGTACACTAACACATATATGTGGAATTCAAAAAAAATGGCTCTGAAGAACCTTGGGGCAGGACAGGAATAAAGACGCAGACATAGAGAATGGACTTGAGGACATGGGGAGGGGAAAGGTAAGCTGGGAGGAAGTGAGAGAGTGGCATGGGCTTATATATACTACCAAATGTAAAATAGATAGCTAGTGGGAAGCAGCCACATAGCACAGGGAGGTCATCTCGGTGCTTTGTGATCACCTAGAGGGGTGGGATATGTATGGATGGCAGGAGGGAGACAAAAAAGAGAGGAGATATGGGGTATATATGTATATGCACAGCTGATTCACTTTGTTATTAAGCAGAAACTAAGACACCATTGTAAAGCAATTATGCTCCAATATAGATGTTAAAAAATAATAATCTATTACAAAGACCCCGACCAATATTCATGGTGCTATTTACATAATGCCTGTGATCATCAGTCAAGATTCCTGATCAAACTGTGCTGTGATAAGATCATAGATTTTACATCAATGCCACTATGTTCTTCAGTTGTTTAGAATAGAGCGAATGATGTGCTGTTGCTTAGGAGTGTTTTCTGAAGGGTTTACAAAGAAAGACACTATTTCTCTTCTTAACTTCTGACTTCCTGCTTCCCATTGCCAGGATAATAATAGGCACAGAAAGGAGACGGGACAATATAATGGTTTTGAAATCATCGATTGTAGTCATGTTAAATCGTGAAGAACCTAACCCTAGGAAACAAACATCTATATATAAAGCTCTACTAATTTAAGGATACAGTTTTTTCAGTCTTCTATTTGTGGCTGAGATCACATTTTTTTTTTTTTATTCCCAATTCCTTTCATAGTCAGTGTCACATGTTGCCTCAGAGGAGAGTCAAATTCTGGAATGAAAGAAAGAGTTACATCTTGACTTTTTGGTTTAAAAATATTTCCTGTGGTTAGCACTCAAAGGATATAGAAAAATGTGATGAGCCAGAGCAGATTCTGTCTTCCCCTTAGATTAGAAATAGATCTCCAAATTCTGGAAGCTTTCAGTAGAACCTTCATTTGAGCTGAGAATCTGAAAACAGAAGACATCTATGTCAAGATACCCTCAGGTCAAGTCTGGGTCATAGATTAAGTACCAGGGTCCTTCTATGCCCTGTGTATAGGTAGCAGAATACATTTTCATG